GACTGGCTATTCCAGGCAGACCATGGTAAAATCATGAGCTGATGAGAATGCACACAACTTGAGGCATTAATTCCTTCCTTTCCCAAACACCATATGATTTTATACCCTAGAAAAGGCCTAGGTGCTTGATTTGTATAAATTTTAGTGACAGTGAAAAATGGAGGAAACTGTAGTTAACATTCAAGAAACATAATGCAAACATGACCAGTGATAAGTTCCCTGACTGGCTTCTTATCACTGTATTTAAATCCTGTATAAACTCAAAGATCTTTCTGCAGTATATGACAACAAGTATTTGTTGGTCAACAGATGACCCCTGCTGGTGCGAAAAATAAAAAAGAAACATGCCGAAAAATAAATTCTAATAAAAACCAGCCCCTATTTATTACTTTTTCAGCCTCCTCTGTGCATATTTGCCTTTGGTTTGTACTTTATTTTGATTAATCACATAACTCTACCAAGACTGTATCTCTGCAGTTTGCCAAAAGAAAAGATGTTGTTGTTGTTTTTTCTTATACTTCCATCCATAACCAACCACATGCTATTCATTTATCTATAGCAGCTTCTCATCTCTACTCCATGTGTCCAAAAATTTCCCTTTGATCATTTGCAAACAAGTTCCTGGTGATCTTGTTTTGTTGTCTGTTTATTTGGAATAAGCAATTATAGCAGCAGAGTCTCTTTTCTGTGCTTCTGCTCAATTCAGATTTTTATCAGTAACGTCATCATTACTAGTATCCTTCTTTTCCTGTTCTCTCCTACTCATTTGGCTTTGACCTAACTTGAACCAAAAACTAATTTTTACAACAATACACAAAAAATTTACATTATTTGTCCGGCATACCCACTATCTGCCCTTAACCATGATTCCTTCATCTTCTCAGGAATAGCTCATCTATTTTTCAGTTGGTATTATCATCAGAGTTCTACATAGTTGTACTGTCTTCTCTTGGCAATTCACTCAACAACCCTAATCCTCTCACCAGCAAAATGGGAATGTAGGGAAAGGGTTTAAATGAGGCATTTACATCAATACATTGGTAAGGTTACTTTCTCGTGTTTCTTTATCGAACTGTATCATGTCAGTCTAACAACTCAGATCACATGTACCTCTGAAATCACAAAGCATATTTTACTTTTAATTTACACATAATTTACAAATCATATTTAAAAATATACGTAATGTTGCACACATTTCTAGAAATCATGCATTCAGTAATTTGTGTTGCTCTTTGTGCATTATGACTTTCTCAGACGGCCAGGAACGAACTTTCTTGTGTGCATATTTAACTAAATTTTCCAAGACATATATTTCTAATGTAAGCTCACTGGAGTTGTGCAACAGCGTGCTATCCTCTCTTTGGGTGGGAGGTTCCACATTCTGCATTGAGCTACTGGGAAAGTTCTGCCTGCAGCTTTTTCCCAACCCTCCTCCCACTGGTCAGAAGCTTTTGCAACAGTTCAGCTCCTGTCTCTAAAAGAGAAATTTTTTTTAAAAAAAACACCTTTATTTGCCCCAAATAACTACTAAAAATCTTGTCACTTTGGATTACATTTTATCTTGCCTTCCAGCTTCTTGTAGAGTTTAAAAGTATGTGTTCCTTACAGAAAACTTTGTGCACCTGAACGCATCCCAGAATTTTAATTTCTTCCTTTTCATTTCTCCTTTCCATTTCATTTAAGTGTTACTATGTTAGTCTCCAGCAACATTTTTGCCTTAGGGACCTTCACCTTAATCACATTCTGGTTGTATTAACTCTGTGTCTTAAATAGAAATGTTTTTTCAATTGTCTTCTCTGGCACATAGAGCTGTCTCAGTACATCCATTGCAAGGTGTAGCCTTTCTGGAGTCAAGATAATATTTTTTTATGGTTTTTTTGGTTTTTTTTTTCCAGGAAAAGATTAGCATTTAGGAAAACCTTTATTGAAACCACCTCTCTGGAATAAAACTCCTTCCATGGCCTTTAAATTAGATGTTAAAAGTTAAAAAAAAATTGAAACAAACGAATAAATAATGTAATCTTTACATTTCTAGTGCTGCTTAATACTTGTCATTCTGTGGAAAAGTTTTCTGTACTTAGGTACATGCAAACATAAAACTGGAACTGGTTTGGGTTTGAGCTCTTTTTGGTTGGTTGATTTGCTAGATTTGCTTTGTTTGTGTTTGTTTTGTGGTTTGTTTGGTTGGGTTTTTTTATATTGACTCTTATTTCAAACATTAATATTGAGGTCATGAGGCCTTGTGGAATCTATTTCAGGAAACAGCTTGTCATTAATTTGATTTTGTAGTGGCCTGGTGACCTCCACAGCCTCACTAAAGCTTGCAAGCAGACTGGAGTGAGATCCAAGAGCCTGTATAAAGGAGAACTCAAGGAAAGCAATTTAGTTTAATGTATAGAGAGCTACATATGTACATGTTTTCTGAGATACAAAATTCAGAACCAATCGTTGCAGCACTGAAGTGAAACTTTCATTTAGAGGGAGCAGCACTGAAAGATTTAAAACTGGTACCAATGAAAATTCATGCTCTTCTTCATGTCCTCTTTCATCTTTGTAAGTTAAGAAGTTAAAAGAGTAATCAGCAGTAACATATTGACACAGAGGTGTAGCATCTGTACATTCTTGATAGTTCAGCTTTGGCTACATATTTTCTCTGCTTGCTCAATGTATATGATTCCCCATTTATACATGATTTTTCTGGAGAAAAAAAAATATATTACAAAAAGACAAAAGTTTGCCATGTAGTTAAAGCACTAGAAAGGGATTCAGACTGAATCTCACTGGTGTTACAGGTTTTCTCTGTGACCTTGAGCAAATCACTTAATCTCTCTGTACCTCTGCTCCTCATTTATTTTTTAAAGGATGGTAATACTTCTTCTGTCTCTGTATTTACCTTGCAAACTCTTTTTATTCTGTGTTTTATATTATTCTTGTTGCGATAAAGATCTTATCTAAGAATTCTTATTATAGAATTGCTTTTACCTACATAAAAAGCAATATATTCTGTATATTAGCTATCCTGCATGACAGGTTATCCTGGGCTATGACCTGGCTGTAAAAGGAGTTGTTATTATTGCACCGGAAGTGTTTTAGAGATCAGGTCGGACTCAGACCACCAGCATTGCATGGCTCTTTTATCAAGAGATGGTGGGCTGAAATTAGAAAGCTTTCTCTATAGCAGTAAAATAAATGTGCTTCAGCATGGCTGTTCAACCACACTTGAAGAAAACCAGTTTGGAATGACCTGCATCTGCACCTTTAAACACAGCCAGCACTGGGGCAGGCAGGCTACATGAGTGCTGTCTGCTGGGAATGGTTTCCAGCTTGTATTATCTCCCTGACTGTATCCTGGATTCTTAAGAGGGCTTTCTGGTCCAAAAATTTAAAAACATGGGCAGGACAAAGAAATGTTTTCAGGCTGTGTTTAGCAGTAGCCAGTCAAACCTTGCACTCCCACCAGAAATTCTGCCTCTGTATATAGCTTTATGCTTATTATAATCTATCTCAGTCTTGCTTTATGCAAATCTTGAGTCTGGAAAAGAAGAAAACATTCTGCAAAAGAAGCTTTGTTGTAGTAAAACTTAAGAAACTTGACATCAAAAATTGTTCAGAATAAGTCCAGCCAAAATTTGGAAAAAGTTTTTTTTCAAACTACTCCATAATACAGTAAACAATCCCTGATAGAGGGAGTGAGACTTTGGATCAGGATTTCAGGTGATTACAGTTTATATTTATGATTTTTGTATCAAGAGGATCCATTTGGTGATGAAAGCATTCTTTTAGGTAGGTGGGTAGACAGTATGGCTTTACCCCTCCTGAACCAGTGAAAGGATTGGAACTTAATTCTCCTGCATATCTACAAGAAAGCCCAGAACTGGTACAGAATGAAGAACCATGTCATCCTTGACTGTGCTCTGAAAGAAGGAGCTGGTCTTTCACCTCAGTTCATTTAAGAATGTATTAGGAATCCAGGTCGGAGTCTCCTAAAGAGATCTGCAGTCCAGTACACAAATGTAATGTTTGAGGAGGAGTCAAACTAAAGACAGTTTTATTCAGCTTTTCTTTCTACCTTGGCTAGGAACCTCTTGGTTAAATCCTCTTGGCAGAAGGTCATGTCTTTATATTCCTGACTGCCTCATAAATATAGTATTTGAAGTAATGCTAAACTACGGGATTCAGATGCACATCAGGAAAAGAAATTTAAATATTTGCTTTGGTACTGCCAAAAATTGAGGATGTAAGCATGCTTGTTTCAAGGATGATGGTTTGTGTCCCATCAGATCTTGTGGTGACAGTCAAGGCTGGTGTCATGCAGGTGAGCAGCTTAAGTGATTCTCCACAGAACAGACCAGACTGATGCCCAGCACAGACACAGCTGACAGAATACACTGATGCTAAAAAACCATTATTGTGCCCACCCCAGCTACCAGCTTCTCAAGTCTATCATAATTGACTTGCTGGCATGGATTAGAACATCTTTTTTAGATTTCTTTCCAGCATACGGACTAATAGTCATAGAGACAGAATAAACTCTGTCTTTATGCCTCCATAAACTGTACTCAGGACCTGCAAGCCTAACTCCTGGTTACTGCAGCCTTACTTGACATCAGGGCATTTAAATCTCTGCTGAAACCTAACTCTGTCTGATTCTGAAAGGCTTAAAATCTAAACATATTTACCTAACAAGATATGCTATTACAATATGAGCTTCTACATTCAAGACCTACACTGTGACTCTCTGACAGCCCTGGTGGTGGTGGTGATGGTGGATGCAGCTGAACTGTCACTTCCAGAATTATCATTCCACTCCAGATACATTGCCATGTGGTACTTAAAAACAGTAGAAAAACCAAAAGAAGTTTAACTACTTATTTTGCAGTTTCACGAAGATTCAGCAAGTGTGGCTTAATCAGCTGCAATATCTGATTAAACATTACCCTTTCTATTGCTTTCTGATGAGCGTTTTATGTGTTCTTCTCTCTGCAGACTGAAGAAGTCCTGAAGATTGATGGAGGGCCATGCTATTCAAACAGCAGGCGTTGCTGAGACAGAAGCTCTTTGTGCTAGGCAGCCTTGCTATTGGAAGTCTCCTATATCTAGTTGCCAGAGTTGGGAGTTTGGATAGGTAAGTCATTAAATAGTTGCTCACTTATTTAGAATGGGCTAAGATTGTCTGAGTTTTTGCTTCAAGGGTCTGATTTCTTTCATCCCTTGTTTTTCAGTTTGATTTTTTTTTTAATTTAGAGTCTGCTCGTATAGGAAGACAGAAAGACTGGCTATTAATTTAATAGTGGTTTTCATTATTTATTCCTACCCTTTGGAGAAGAGAGTAGGAAAATAGTCACAGTCATCCCCGTCAAAGTTTTTCTGTCTGTCCATTTGTATTCTGAGCACACTGGCACTTGTTTTCAGGGAAGAAATAAACCAGCATCCAGTAAAAATGTCATTACAGTAGCTCATTTTGCCTGTGTACATCTGTGCGTTGACCTCTAGTTTCAGCAAAACAGTTATGATGTATTTATACATCTCCTTTTCTAAATTTGTGAGCAAGCAATTAATGTGCTACAGTGGTAGTTAAAATTAAGTATGAGCCTGCAGAGCAGCTCGTCAAGTTTTGAATACTATTTCATTTGAAAGATTGCTTCAGGGTTTGAGAATTTTAACTATGTTAATTAGCTGGTATTTTCTGTAGCTGAATGTGCTAAATAAGTGGGTTTTCTCTGCAAATGATTTCCTGGAGAGTAGTAGAAAACACTGCAGAGAAAATCAAAGAGTGTTTGGCACTTCTGACCAGGCTGAGTTTTGACTGGTTTCTGACAGTGCAAGAGTAGTGCTACCTGCACTGACACTGCTGTTCCTGCCAGCTTTGAAATGGCTTGGGATTGTAGGTAGGCGCTACACAAAGGCACAACACATTTGGGAGGAAAAAAAAATTTAAAAAAAAGCTGTGTCAAAAGAATGAATGAATGAAACCTACAAGATTTCCAGAAGCTGGTAGACAGTTTGCAAGTGTTAAAGCTGTATTCTAGTCCTTCTTGTCCTTCTTTTAAATGATGCAACACATCAGTTGGTTTCAAAAAATGCTATAAAGTGCTGTATGACTATGCAGTGCTTGGAGAATGAAAGCTACCTACCATCCATTGCTAGGTAAGAGTGGGCTCTCTTGGTGGTCACTGTGTGCCTTCTTCTAATCCTCAAATCCACTCCAGGACAAGGAGACCATGTATTTAGCTAGGACCAAGTACATTGCAAATTAAGCCCTGGAAATTATATCTTCTTTCTCCTGGTGGAGAAAACCATCTCTGATGCTTCAGAAGTAGAAATTTCACTGAGACTAATGTAATTCTGTAAATGGAGGCAGAAATCCTTACTGGTCCCTGCAAATGTATATTTTATCCTAGGAGGCATGAAATCTAATTAACCTTCTCCTATTATCTATGCTTGCACATCTACAGAATTTACTGATGGCTATAAAATTATCTCGCCACAGTATTTGACTCGCTGACCTCCTGTGGCAATGAATTCTGCTGGTTTCATACATAGTGTTGCCAATGGCAGTAAAACTCAGTTTTGTTCTTTTCCTTTACCCAGTGTGAAGCATTCCACACTGCTAAAAAGCAGTCCTGTGTATGGACTTGTTATGAAATAGAGAGAGAAAGAAGTATTAGAAAGGACAAGACACAGATGAATTAACTGGAAATATTCTTCTGCCTCATCGTTGTTGAATCTCTCAGTAAAAGGATGCTGAGTGGCTTCAACAGACTTTGGAATAGCTAATTCTTCAGGAAGAAATCCAGATTCATTTATGCTTAATTTATGCTGATCTAATTTGAACAAGAGAGCTGGAGATGGGTCATGTTTAATAGCTTCAGATTAGGCTCTCCAATGGCAGTGTCTTGAGTTTCCTTAGGCCCAAAGGGAAATTACCACTAGTTTATCTGATTCATTGAGTCATAAAATCTGATGAGCTCTTCCCTCAAGGGGAGACCACCTTCCTTCAGCTCCTGAGTGCATGGATCTGCCTCATATGTGGAAGCTCAAATAGATTCTGTAACAATTTTGAGAATATCTGGATTAGCCTTTGAGTTACCTGACTCCCTGATTGTCAGTACCAGCAGCCTCCACACCTGATTTCCATGCTACAAACTATTCCTGCTGGAACCAGGCTTATAATCTTTTGCTGCTGTGACACATCCACTGGAAGAAAATTAGCAAGTATTCTAGATCAGGTGAGACAGCTCATTAAGATTGCCCAGACCTACTTCAGCTGTTTGGAAACTTTTCAGAAATTCAGTTCCCGGAGACAAAATCTTTTATGGCGGGTTTTCTCAAGAAGAGTAATTGTAGAGTTTTACTGAAGCAGCTTGAGAAATTGCCTGTTTTGGGAGAGCAACTCAGTGATATAATAAGTGCCATATACTCTTAGCAAAGAACTGTTATTTATTGAGAAAATGACTCAGACAATCAAGAATATTAGTTTGTTGTAACATAAGAGTAAATAGTTACATCTTGGATTAAACTATGAGGATTTGCCCTTTACTCACCACTGCCAAGATGTTTTAAAAGTTACTTTTTTATTGTTTAGAGAGTACAATCAGGGGGAAAGAGTAAAAGAAAACCTGAAATATAAGGCTGAGGAAGGACTTTTAACAACATCCAATCTTTTCCCTTAGGCTAGAGGATATCTTGAGTATTTATTTATTTTCAAAGGAAACCCCCCTGTTTGACAAGCTGTTGTGTTACACTGAAGGCAGTGCTAACTGTCTTTTTGAGCAAGAGATAAAATTAGTTGAGATGGGTCTGGAACTGCTGTTGTGGAATCCTCTTTGCTTGAAAACAAATAACAAATACGCAGAAGGAGAGGGAAGAGAACAGAGAGAGCAACTGTAGCTTCTGTTTCTTATACTTTTAACTACCACCTTGCTGATCCATTAAGATTCTCACTAGCCACACCACAGTCTGACCAAACCGTAGCATTGCTAAGACATTTCTTTTTTTTATTTTTTATTTTTTTTTAATATGGCCAGGTTTGCATCAGCATTTCAATGATTCAATCTTTGTCACCAAGTCAGGCTTTTTCAGTATATGGCAGAGAGCAAAGGGATGGAAGAAGCTAGAAAACTGAGAAAAGAAATAACTCAATTTTCATCACACTTTCTAATTAGTCTACAGGATTTAGCTAGAGCTCATGTGAACCCAGCAATGTCATATGGATTGTTTCTTCAGCTCTGTCTGGACAGGCTATATCTCTCAGTATCTGGATAATCAAGGAAACAGCTAACAGGTCAGCCAGGGAGATCAAACTTATTTTGTCCCAACCATCCATTGTCCTAGAATCAGTGTCAAATTAGAGACCCCAACAAGCAGTGATGGATGGAAAACCAACAAAGAAATAAATAATTATGTCCTGAAAGCAGGGTTTGAATAACATATAGTAAATGAGTGAGGGACCACATGCTGAGAAACTAGAATAAATACTGAATACCTAAACAGCTATTAATGAGCATTGCCCATCTGGTATACTGGCTAAGGCAGGGGTCCTGTGAAAAATAATAGCATGTGGCTGTGTAATTTAAGAACTGTATCATAATACATGTGCACAGCAAGCTCACACTAAAATTGCCTAGACAACCTTTGTTCTTACATATCCTTAATTTTGGAGAGCATGGCTCCACAAAATTAGTAATAATATTTTTGTAGGGCCTTGGAAGCTCTCTGTACACACCAATTTAATCTTCAGTGAAATATTGGCCTGTATAATGTCCAAAGTGCTTGTTTGAGAGCGGAGATGAGAGTTTATTCAAGGTTCTGTAGAAGTAAAGTTTTAACATTTTTTTTACTGAACTACTTCTTGGATCCAGTGGTATCAGATACAAGAATGAAGAATTAGAAAGTGGAAAAGAGGGGAAATAATTGTAGCCGAATACAAAAGAATAGTACAAAAATGCAGCTGCTAAGGAAGAAATAATAAACCACAAAGTAAGGTTCAGTGGGAGGATACAGGAGCGATTATAAGAAAATCATTGATGTAACAATGTAATAAATGCATTTTTAAAAACTCTTCTTGCCATTCTTTTTGTACCTTGCTAATCTTATCTGAATCAAAACCTTGGCCTTTCTGGTTCTGGCTGGCAGAGAAACACTGGGCATATTGTAAAGAGGAGGATAAATATTGAAAGGTGATGCTTAGAAAGCTGGTTTTCTTCTTTTCCTCCTCTTCACTAAAAAAGCCATCTCTGGTTCAACACAATGGAAAGCACAGGAAAGACTTCAGGCTAGAATACTTAAAGTGTGGGAAAGAGATTACTTAAATGAACTGGATTTTCAGATCAAAATGTCCAAATATAATTCATCTCAGAATGCCTTAAGAACTGCCAAACCCATCACAAAATAATGAGGAATGTGGAAATTTAGGCAAGGTTCAAGGAGACCCAAGAACAGTTATCATAGTTCCTATGCTGGCAAAGGGCAGACGAGTCAAGTTAGGAATTTCCCAGCTAAACCAGAGCAAAAAACCAGATTAATAATTAAAAAACTACAAATTATTTAACCACTGACAGAATAAAATAAAAGCTGAAAGATGGGCACATCACATTACATTTGAAAATGTTCCCAAGAGCATGATTCCCTTATACATAAAACTTGTGTTTTGAGGTATCTTCTTTTTACAAGTACCTCTTATTTTACTTGCAGACTGCAGCCCCTCTGCCCCATCGATGGTCGTTTTGGACCCCGCGGCCAGGACGAAATCCCGCTGCGAGCCCTGCAGTTCAAGCGAGGTCTGCTCCATGAATTTCGAAAGGGCAATGCCACCAAGGAACAAATTCGACTGCACAATCTGGTTCAGCAGCTTCCCAAGGCCATTATCATTGGGGTGCGGAAAGGAGGCACCCGAGCACTACTGGAGATGCTGAACCTTCACCCTGCAGTGGTCAAAGCTTCTCAAGAGATTCACTTCTTTGACAATGATGAAAACTATGCCAAGGGGATTGAGTGGTACCGGAAAAAAATGCCTTTTTCTTACCCTCATCAAATAACAATTGAGAAAAGCCCAGCGTATTTTATCACCGAGGAAGTACCTGAAAGGATTTACAAAATGAACTCATCTATCAAATTATTGATCATTGTCAGGGAACCTACCACAAGAGCTATTTCTGATTACACTCAGGTGCTGGAAGGCAAGGAAAGAAAGAACAAAACTTACTACAAATTTGAGAAGCTGGCTATTGATCCTAATACCTGCGAAGTGAACACTAAGTATAAGGCAGTGAGAACCAGCATCTACACAAAACATCTGGAGAGGTGGTTAAAATACTTCCCAATCGAGCAGTTTCATATCGTGGATGGGGACCGGCTCATCACAGAACCGCTGCCAGAACTCCAGTTGGTTGAGAAGTTCCTAAATCTTCCTCCGAGGATAAGTCAGTACAATTTATACTTCAATGCCACCAGAGGGTTTTACTGCTTGCGATTTAACATTGTCTTTAACAAGTGCCTGGCGGGTAGCAAGGGACGCATCCATCCAGAGGTGGATACCTCTGTCATTACCAAATTGCGCAAGTTCTTCCACCCTTTTAATCAAAAATTTTACCAGATCACGGGGAGGACATTTAACTGGCCCTAAGCTAAACTTCATACAACACTTTCTGTTGCACCTGAGGCATGCAATAGGATGTCTCTGCTGAAATATGCACTTTTCATAGATACGGCTAGCAAAGTAACTTTTTCATGCATACGTGTACATAATGCAGTGTGTGACCAAATATATGGTGGGATCGATTTTTTCTACAGAGTAGTAACTAACATAAATTTACTGTCAATATAGTTGCATCTTTTAAGATATAATAATAAAGGGAAAGGAGGTATTTAGGGAAACAAAGTCAGACACTGTTAAAAGGGTCAGTGTTCCTCTCGCTTAGTGAAGTGTTTATGTGACATACTTATTGATCTAAGCAGAACATTACTTTATGCCATAAAAATTCTTGTCAAAAGTCTGTAAAGCTGTGAGAAAGCATAATCTTGAGGCTATATTTGGTATGTGTATTGCTAAAGGAATACTGACACTTTAAACACAGTGCTGAATTTTTACAATGAGAGTGAATAGTACTATTTTCTTATTATTTTAAATGAATATCTTATCTCATACAAATTACATTGTTTTAGAGTTCCTGTGGTGAGTTTGCACTATTGTTTTATTGTATGGACCATAGTGTCACTTGTAGCATGTCAATCATGTGTCAAGAAAAGGTCAAATAATTTTTTCTTCTATACTTGTGTGTCAACAAAGCTAAACATGGTGTATATAGTGTACAATGTTTGTAAATACTGGTTTCACACTAAGTAATTCTATTTTGTAAACTGAATATGGCTATTTAATTTATTGTGAAAATTAAATTTATTGTGGTATTTAAAAATGGAATGGATTAAAATTACCTATATGTGCAATGGCTTTTCACCTCTGCTTGATGTGTGTCAGTGTGGTCCCTTAGCTTAGACAGATCATATGTATGTGTGAGAGAGATTTCCTCAGGTGAGCTTGGTTTATAGACAGTAGACAAAACTGATACATGTGGTGAAGCAGGGCTTATTAAAACACTCATCCTTCTAGGAATCTGGTGTAATGCTCACCTCAAAGAACATTGTTGTTGTATTGTGGCACTTTGCTAAAATCAGTGCAGTTGCCCGTGAGGCTAAAGTATTACCGTGAAAGCCTACTGTAACCAGGTATATCAAAAAAACAGACCCCCTCGTTAAAACAAAAAAAACCAGAGAGATTAAAAAAATTAGAAGAAAAGTCTTGGTGATTTCATCACCAAAAGGTGGTGATACTTCAGAAGTCATAGAAAATATGATACCTTTGCTTTCATTTGGTAATGGATGCATCTGCTCTGAAGAAAACAATCACAGTATTGTTACTACTCGGATAAACATATATAGCTCATGTCTCCATTCAATAAGTGACAAGAAATTAGTTCAGGAAATTCATATTTTCATGCATTATACGTTGCATAGCTCTTAAAGGTTCATAAGAAAAAAAAAAAAAACGAAAGCAAATGAAAAAGTTTTTAAAACAAGGAAAAAAAAAGAAAGAAGTGAAGTAAAAAAAAAATCCCAACCACTTTAAAACCACAATCTAGAGACTGATGGAGACAGAAATTTTGGAAGGTGTCCAGAACATCTGAATATTCTGGGCTGTGGCAGCAGAGTGGCTGGTAGTTCAGATTATAATAAGATCAAGTGTTCCCCATGGGCTGTTTATTTTGTTCAGTGATTTGGAAGCATTGGTTTTTCTAAATAAGTGGTTTTTAAAACTCTTCTGAGAGAGAATGTTTCTTGTCTTGCTGTATCTTTAATCATATGTGCTAACACTGTGAGCAATGTGCCCTTTCTTCATGCTGCATCGGAGCCGTGCCAGCACAACACGGCAGAGCATATGTGAAATTCTCTGCAGTAGCTACAATACAACTCACTGTTTTTCTGTAAAAGAGCCATTTATCTTGCCTACTTCCAGACAAAAAGACAGATATTTAACTTACCTAATAGTGTTCAACAGGGAGTTTTTATCCAATTTAACCTTTTCATGGTATTCAGGTGGGAAGACAGATTCCAGACAGCTTTGGGTGATACTTTGGGTGATACTTCATAGAGTCTTGGCTACAAACTAACTGAAGGCTGAGATGTACTTTCAATGAAAGGGACAAATTAGTTAGGTCAGAGTTACCTCCAAGCACACGATATGCATTTGAAATTAATATCTCTCTGCATTTGATCAGAAGAGCCACAGAGACTGTGATCTACCAGGCACGACTACACACATTCCTGTTAAAGTCAGCTGGCTTAACTCCAGCGTATCATTTGCAATTTTAGAGAGACGTGGATAAATTTAGGCTATATCTTAGACAAATCTGGTTCAAAAATGCACAGAATAGTCAGGAACAGCAAGAGAGGAAAGAGGGTTCAAAGGCATTGTAATGTATATTAAGAAGACTAAAAGAGCAGGAGACTGACTCACTTTCACTAAGCCTTCAATGCAATGTTGTCAAGTCTATATGACATAACCCAGTGAAGAGAAAATTTCAAAACTGATTCATAATACATAGATACAACACACCACCCAAAGCATTCTCCTAGGTTAATGGGGATTTTGCCTCAGTGTTCATAACCAATTTGTGAAGTCCTGACCTTATGGTATTTTCCTCTTCAGGAGAAATTTCTGAATAATTCACTTCAACCTTTTAGCTTTGCTTCCCAAATCTTGAGTTAATCATTTCTATTCAAATTGATCATGAGTGCTCAGACTGAGAAGAACATTCTTAGCTTGAGATTATGATTTCAGAGTGATGCACAGCTATATGAAGTTGCAGCTGTTAACTTGTGGCATTTAGGTTCTCTAAAGACATTGCATCTTGCCTATTTTCTGTACTCAAAAATTACAGACTCACAACTCTCGTAAATGTTTAGATTAAAACAGCTAATATTTCTGAGTATTTTTATCAGATTTTCCCAGCTGCTATTTAAAATACCTAGGACAACAATTTGCAGTATAAAGGATTTTCAGAGATTAATTGGAAATTGTATTTTCAGAAATTAATACACAAGTAAATAAAGGACTGATATTTGGAGACTGGAGATTCATTTACCATTAACCCACTATGCTGCATTTTCTTCAGGAAAGTGGAATAGGTGTGATGGAAATGCATATACCCTATGTTACCCATTATGTTAGTGGATTTTTCCTTTTTTTTGCAGTCTCTAAGAAGAAAACAGGCATGCCATTTTTGGCAACATGTTTCATTATAATAGTCCAAGATTTTTAAAAGGCAATGGCCACAAGCTAAAAACACAGGACCACCATCTGAAGATCAGGAAACCCTTTTTTACTGTGAAGGTAAAGCACTGGCATATGTTGCCCAGAGAAGTTACAGATTTTCTATCATTGGAGATATTTAAAAACTATTTACACATTGTCCTGGGCAACTGGTTTTGTGTGTCTCTGAGCAGTAGGTGTTGGATTTCTCTTCCAACCTCAGCCATGCTGTGATCCTGTGAAAAAGTCTCTCTATACCATTTAGTTCTTGTTAAGTACTTCCCATTGTTTCAGTGTTGTACAGATTATAGAGAAAGTGGAACCCCAGTGTCACAAGCCAGTCCAGCCACTGTTAAACCCAGGGTATGGAAGCAACACAGGGCACATATTTACTCCCTGGATAGTGATCTAACTCATGCTGGAAGCCTGTTCAACTTACTGGAACCCTGTGATAGGAGAGCTCTTTTATTAATGACAGTCTTACAGATCAGTGCTGCTGGTTTTAGTACAGACTGAGAAGACTACAAAGGACCCTTCTTCATGAAGTGGAGGTCAGGAATTGAATATTACAGGGAATGGTATCTTTGCTTTCATTTAAAATGGGGTAAAATGCTATTTCTTTCCTGTGTAAAAATTACTTTAGAAACCAGGTACTTAGAAGGGCTCTACAATCCCATGGCCATTTAAGTCAACCCAGATCACGCCTGTCAAGGACTCAGTCTCTGTCCTCATACAATGTGCTCTTTCCCACTCCTCTGCACTGACTCCCATGATTACCTGCCCCTTCCACGTGGAGCTTGCCAGGCTGGCAGAAGACTAATCTGTTTAAAAAGATGAGTAATGTCACTAAAACTGTTCTAGATCAGAGCACACATCTTTTCAAATCAGGATCTGTCACTAGAAGTGGCCCCTAGTTAATGCTTCATGCAGGACAATAAAACAAAGAAAACACGAAGACATTCTTGTGTTCCAGTGGTTGGCAGTCATTGGATGTCTCTAGTGGGAGAGGATAGACTTCAGATGTAACAGCACGGGGTGCCTTCCTCTTTTTTGCACTTCGCCTGAAACACCTTGAACCCACTGAAGAGATGTTCACAAGCAGTTGTCTAAGCCCTCTCATGTTATTTTGCTAGAATAGATGTGCAAAGTGAATCCGAGAAATTAGGGTAGTACCTTTAAAATCTGATAATTAGTATAAAGATATGGTAGCAGAAGTTTTATCTTCCTTCCTAACTCACTTTGAAAATGCTATGGATTGTCTAATTAGTTTCTTGAAAAAATACTTGCCACACTACTTTGTACTTATTGAAGATCCCTGACCAGGCTTGGTCCTCAGATTTGCAAGACTGTAAAGCAGAATAAATAATGTTAAATTTCACGTTAGTATTCAATAATATAGATCCAATGAGTCTCAGATTGCATTGTAAAGATGTACTTTTGTTACTGAAGACTTATGCATGTTAGTGAAACAGGGATGTGCCAGGACAACCATCATCAATACCTATAAATGGATTTTTCCTTTGTTTATGAGCTTCTTTGAGGAGATACTTTACACCTGATATTCCACAGCACTCTTCTACCAGCTGATCAGCTCTGGCAAATTTGTTCTTTAAAGACTGGCTTTCCTTCTGACAACTTTGAGACAGACATAATAAACTGTCTTCAGGACCACCAACTATCCCAACTGCATTTATTTAAAAGAAAGAACTTTCAGTCCTTTCGGCAATAGTGCACTTATGAAAGAGTCAAGCCCTTAGAGAACATCCATGTGTTATCAATCTGGATACCAGCCTTTTTCCCAGGGCTTGAATTGACAAGTGCAAGGAAAGCATAGAAAAGACTAGAATGCTATCATCCATCTGCTGCACCGTGATTAGCATATGGTAAATAAGATTACCTGCTGTTCTGAGATTCTTATTAAAATTGGCAGTATAATGGCATGACTTTAGGAGCTGATGGTGACCAAGCTACTGGACTCTTTTCAGTTCAGCTTTGACTCCATTCAACTTCTTGTTAGTTTCAAAGCTTTTTCTCATAGTGCACAGTGATCCACAGCTCTCCTTGAAATGCATGTCTTGTGAGACAGAAGGAGAAATATCAGCACAGGCTGTCCTTGCCTTTGCCACTGTGACCACAGAGAAGGGCTGTGGTACAAGGAATTTGACTCTGCTGATGTCCTTATGAGTCCTACATTATTCTCTAACAACCAAAAAATAATTTTCCCTCAGCAGCAGTGTTCACTACTTGAGAATGTTAATGCTTCTGTCAAAGTGTCCTGATTATTGATCAGGATATGAAACATCTATATTTTGAACAGATTGTAGTCCTTTGATACAGTACATACACAGTACACATAATATACAGCAAAACATAGGATATGACAAGGAAACAATGCTACTTCAAGCCATCTGATGTTATGCCTCAGGCTGATTAAATAGACAAAAGGAAACATGACAGAATAATGCACATCTTACTCTTGGCCTTAATTGCAAACAACTGTTTTGTGATGTATGAGGTCT